GATTTGTTATAAGTTTGAGTCAAGGGTTAGAACAATTTTTTTAGATTTTTTTACTTAAATTTAAATTTGAGTCTAATTTGAGTAAAGTAGATACCTAAGAGAATCTCAAAAATGAAATTGTCTAATATAAGAGTAATATTATATGAACTTAAAAATTAAATTTGATAACAATAACTATTGATTTTATTGTGGCTTTCAGCATTTATTGGGACCCACTACCTATTCAATGGTTGAGATTAATCAAATTTAATTTTTAAGTCCATGTAAAATTATACTTTGATAGTTTAAAAATAATTTTTTTGATACTTTACGTCTATTTTTTATTTAATTTAAACATGACGTGTGACAAGTTATATAGTATTGTGTTACTGTATTTGATAACCAAAATATAAGGTTTAGGATTTTTTTTTGGGTAGTATTAAAAAATTATTTTTTAATATTATAGTGTTGTTCTTAATGGTTAAAAAAAATATATGCACTCACATATGTATACATGACAATTTTAGAATATATAAACAAATTATTAGAGGGAGATATTTGTTAATATATTTTTTCTTCAATTTTGTTTTTAATATCATCCATCATGCATTCAAATAAGACCGATTGCATATAAATGAGTCTCTCGCTCATTAATGATGGATAATGTGTTAATAAGATATTTGAAGAAAGAGTGTACAAGAGAAGATCTCGATCCCAAAATGTTGGATGTTAATTGAATTAAATTTTATTTTTAAAAATCAAGAAAAGGGTAAATTTAAAGTCCTCTCCCCCTCACCCCCTCCAAAAAAAAAACATAATGTGTAAATATGATTAAGTGTAGCCAACAAATAACACTGTCACAAGATGTTTCATAAGCACCCAATATTTTTTCAACTTTTTACGGAGACAAAATGGACATGGCGGATAGCTTGATTCGGAAGAGTCCCTTTTTTGTAATAACAAAAAAAAAAAAAAAGAAAAATAAATAATTGAGACATTTTAAATAAAGCATGCGAGTCTGTGACTCTTCTGTTGTACAGCTAACACGCTGCTCATGATAAGATATGCCCGTCGCAAGGTGGTGTGCATAGCATAGCATAGCCGAAGGCCATACAGATCTTTTCTTCAACTGACACAATACTTAATTATTAGTTGCAACTGACACAACTCATTGGGTGTACCAAGGTGTGTATGGTCTCCAGAACTTAGCCAGATGTGTTAGACAGAACTTTACTTTGTACATTGCAACCTTGCAAAAGCTTCAACATCATCAAGTGTAACTATAAAACAAGCAACCCCACGTCAACCAGAACAAAAGACAACGATTAATGTTATTATACTGTTATTATTTGTAGGCCCAAGAGATACAGCCTTACAATAGATAGATTAAACAAATAGTATCCTACTTGTTTTCTTCATGCTTTTTGACAGATGTAGAGGCCTAGAACAGCGACAAAAATGGTTGAAAATAAAAGGCATAAAGAAAAGTTAACACAAAACAAGGTCCTAGTTACCTTCGTAAGCACGAGAGGTCAGAGAAAGTCATAAAATAAACACAAAGTTAAATCAATAAATTTTATGGTGTCATATTTTATTCAACGTATCTTACTTATTTGTAGTTGTATATATTAGAGATTTATATAGTTAGAGTTAATAATCGAATTGAGCTATTCAAGTTCAATTTATTTTGGGTTTATTCAGGTTCAGTTTGATTTTTAAATGAGTCAAAAATAAATTAAATTTGAACAATTTTTTAGATTTGTTTAAAAAATAAATTTAATAGACTCAACTCAAACTGAACATACTTGACTTTTTTATGCGTAAATACTCAAGTTTGACTTGAATTCAATTTATTTTGAGCTCGTTCAGACTTAACTCGTTTAAAAAATGTAACTTGAATAATTTATTAGACTCATTTAAAAAAACGAGTTCAACATATTAGACTCGATCTCCTTCGATTATCAGCTTCACGTATACACTGATATTTTGAAAAGGTGGGGAGATATCAGTATAATTATGTTAAAGGTTGGGGGGTCAGTGTAAAAATTACCCCAAACTAAAACAAACCAAGATAAGCTTTTTTTTTTTTTTTGATCCAAACCCAAGATAAGCTCAATCAAACACTTTCTCTGACTACTTTCTTACATTTTCTCTCCGACACAAACCGGATTACCAGAGGAGTGACGAACCTCAACCCAACAGCTGTCCGCACCCAACACCATCCACACAAAAATCATACCCAATTCCCTTCAACCTCAACAGATCCAACTCCGATAACTCACTTATTTCTTCCCACAAAAGCCACCATGGATCCTCCAGAGCAACGTCGCAAGAGAAAACGATTCGTCAGACCACCATACTCTCCTAAACACTTACTCTCTGTAAGATCTCTCACCTCATCCTTCTTCTTCCTCACTTTCCTCTACTTCTTATCCTTTCGATTTTTTCCCATAAACTCATCCACCTTTCACCCCATTTTAGTAGTTTCAAGCTTATCTTTGCTGTCATCCTCTTCAAGTCGTTCAGTTCAAAATCATTTCAATGGCGATGATTTGTTGTCGTCATTAAGAATAGAGGATCGGGTTCTTTTTCCCGACCACGTCTTGCTATTGGTGTCGAGTACGAAGAGGAATATAAAGAATAGTGAAGGAATGGAATGCGTTTATGGAAGAAATCTCTTTAAGCGTTATGATTCTTCTGATGGCGTTGCTGCTGTTAAGCATAGTGTTTTGTCAGTGGATGAGTATGATGGGTTTCGATTTATCGCCAGGTGTCCGGTTCCACCGGCAAATCATTCAGCTGCAGTGAATTTACAGAGGCGTGGAGGGAGTGTGGCGGAATTGGGTGGTGATTATGGTTTGTTGAAGAGCAATCAGACGGTTTATTCTTGGGAAAATGTGGCATATGCGGCGGTTTTGGATGGGAAAACGGTGGTGGTGTTTGTGAAGGGATTGAATTTGAGACAAGAAAGGAAATCAGATCCTACCCAATATAGCTGCCATTTTGGTTTGAGGAATTGGGAGAGAGATGGAGGATTTGCACTTGCAACCAGAGCTATTACGGCTGCTCAAGAGGTTGTGAGGTGTTCTTTGCCAAGGAGTATGAGGAAGAATCCGATTAAGGCTGAGGGGATTCGGGTTACCATTGGGGTGACAGTGACACCCCATGTTCATGCCAGAGCTCATGAGCAAGTGCTTGTGCCTTCTGTGGCCAAGATTTGGAAGCATAAGCCGGAGAAGCAGAGGAATAGAAAGGGAAAGTATGAGCTCTGTGTGTGCACAATGGTGTGGAACCAAGCTTCTTCACTTCGAGAATGGATTATGTACCATGCTTGGCTTGGAGTTGAGAGATGGTTTATATATGACAACAATAGTGATGATGGAATCAAGGATGTCATTGAAGAGCTTGAGCTAGAGGATTATAATGTTACTAGGCATCTATGGCCATGGATTAAGACTCAAGAAGCAGGTTTCTCGCACTGCGCTCTCAGAGCAAGAGATGAATGCAATTGGGTTTCTTTCATGGATGTTGATGAATTCTTCTACTTCCCATTTCCAACTCCTCGGCTTCAAAGAAAAAGGAAATTGGGGTTTCCAGGGCAGAATTCCCTTCGGAACTTGGTTGCAAATTTCTCATCATCAACAAGAGTTGCCGAGATCAGAACAGGCTGCCACAGCTTTGCGCCATCTGGGTTGAATTCACCACCCTCACAAGGAGTCACAGTAGGGTACACTTGTCGGCTTCAGAGTCCCGAGAGGCATAAATCAATTGTCCGCCCGGATGCTCTCGACATTACCCTTCTTAATGTGGTGCACCACTTTCATCTTAGTAAGGGTTTCAAGTACCTGAATTTGCCTCATAGCATAGCTGTGATAAACCACTACAAATATCAGGTGTGGGAGGTTTTCAGAGCAAAGTTTTTCAGAAGGGTTGCTACCTATGTTGTTGACTGGCAAGAGAGCCAAAATGAAGGATCAAGAGATAGAGCACCCGGGTTGGGGACAGAGGCCATTGAACCACCCAATTGGCGACTACAATTCTGTGAGATTTGGGACACTGGTCTGAGGGACTTTGTTCTAGCCAACTTGGCTGATCCTGAATCTGGGTCTCTGCCCTGGGAGAGGTCTCCTCTGTGACCTGTGAAACAAGGGCTAGTTGAAGCATGCCTGCCCATGTAAAACAGATCAATTACAGTTTTTCTTTCTTTCCATTCTTTCACCATTTTGTACCTGTTTTCCCTTTTTTTGTTAGACATGCAAGCGAAGAAATACCATAGATTAGATAGGGGGTTCTTAGATAGTTGTAATTTTGTGGCAACATAATATAATTTTTTTAATTCTTATGCAATTCATTGCTTCATTTTGCTATTTTTGGTTTAATGATCAACATGCAAGTGGTTGTGGCATTTTTACGCTTTGCAAATAAGATAGCATGAATGCAGTCATATAAAACGATTCCAATGGTAATAGCACAGGAAGAAAGAAAAATTAAATGAGTCAAAGATTTCATAAATTGTTGTAAAGATGGCACAAACTCGCACATTTATAATCTGCATGTTTATTTATGTATTTTAAACATGCCATCATCACGGTTAGAGTCATAAAGAGGCAGTAAGGGAGCAGAAGGTTGATAAAAAATGAAATGAAAGGAAAGCATGGATATTATTATGTGCAATTTTTTGCATACAATTTCAGAATTATGAGAAGCAATGTCCGATTTTAATGTAGTTGATAAAACAAACATTGACCGTGTAGTCAATAACTCAAAAATATGTTAATTCACAAGGAAAAAACAAAGAAAACTAAAAACTGAGGAATTCAGAATTGCTACAGAATCTGGCAACAGTTACATAATTCAGAATTTTAATGAGCACATTGCCCTGGTATACCTTCCAATCCTCAGGCGTATGCAGCATTCAGGAATAATGTAAACGTCATATATCAGAATCACGTCATCGAAAAATCCTAGATTAGATGTCGCTGTAGATATGCCTGAACTGCATAATGCTCATGAATTTCTTTGATCTCTTCTTCTGCAGTATCACTAGCAGGACCAAAGAGGGGAAGGAACAAAAGACTGAAAAGAAACCAGGATCAGATTCAAGTAAAAATGCCAAATCCAGAAAAATGGAAAAACAAACCAGTCATAAGATGCATGTTTCCATTGTGATACAAAATACAGTTTAGGAGAAAAAATTGTGATCCTAATCACATAAAATAGAAAGGAAGATTTATCTAAAACAGATGGGAGGACTTCAAGGAAGGTCAAGATGGCTTTCAGAAGCAGGAAAGCCGGAAATAATAGCTCGAATTAACATTTTATGATCTGACCACTAGAGTACAGTTCCACACTTTTCATCTGGTGACTGCTGTTGTTCATCACTAGTGTAGTGCAGGAATCATGTTACTGTTGGAAGCACGAAATATATAAACTAAAATCCCCATGATTTTGCAACTCGTGGATCGTAACTTCATGGATGGCTGAACAGAATTCTTGCCAGGGACTATATCAGTGCTTTAATATGTGAGGGCACTCTGAAGGTATTTGGAATGGCAAAGGAAAGTTCGTAATAGCAGGTATTTGGAATGGGAAAAGAAATCTCAGAACAGCATGAGTTAAATCTCATGACTTAACAACTGAAATAAAAGACCAGATCTTGACAATGCAAAGATGATCTATGTTTTTTGGGTTTCCTTCTTTACCAATGTTTAGATTCGTCACATCAGCATTAACCCAAACCTTAACAGACAGAGAAGCAGCCATTCTTAATATTTAGCCACCAAAATGCGGAGTTTTAACAGTGCATCACTCTTGGGAACTTGACACTACAACCCTGAAGGGCATATAATATACTAGGATAGTGGCAAGAAGTGTTATCATATCATTATGTGGACAAAGAAGTCAAGGATCCAAGTTAGCTTCTTTTTTTTTTTCCTGTTGTGTTTCCCTTCTTTTTTTCTTTTTGTACATCCTTATTCATCTTATCTTTTTGATTAATGGTTTAATATTTTATCTTTGACATGACAGAGTCCCTGTGCTGCAGTTTCCATCGTGTCTAGAGCGTGAAGTGGATTCAATTGGCAAACCTGTTTTGAGTGGCTTAACACAGTTAATATAAGACTTATAAAGTTCATTGAATTTTTTACGTCCTTATGTCAGCAAACAAACAAAAGATGGAATCTTTTTACTGACAAGAAAAACAAAAGAAACCAAAGATGGAATCATGGAACAACTCAGTTCTTTCCTTCCCTTCTACTCAGCATCCAAAAGAATATGTATGAGACTTGGTTCTATATCTCCTATTTTTTTCCTCCTCATCTTTGTCTTAACAAGTCACGTGGGAAAAGCATCAATTAAAAGAGAATTTGTGTTTGGCAAAGTGGTTGAGAAATGTTTTGTATGAGATAGGAATGAAAAGCGGAGAGGCAGGTTTCAAATGATAACATATGGTCATTGACAGGATACAGAATAAGACTCCTAGATAATAAAATGTAGTCACCAATAAGGTTTGCCCTGTTTCTCAAACAATGAAAAAGTTCATATGCATATAGGAATAGAACTATGGAAATCAGGAAAATATAGAATGAGTATAGAAGGCCGTTCATGGTAGTTCGCGTACTGAAACAAAAAAGTGGTAGAATTTTCCATATGCAAAAGGGATGAGGGAGCACAATGTAATAAATATGCTTTCTTTGCACAATCATATAGATGTAAAATATTATACCACTAAAATGGAATATAATATTACCTTGAATAAAACTTTCAAAGAATGCTATGCAAACCTAAGATTTCAAAGTTTGATTGTTTTCAACTTCTATATGACCTGCCAGAGTGATGTTATTCACATATTTTGTGAGTGTAGCATCCAACTTCTCTCCAATCAATGTAATCCATGCCTGCAGATTTAATGAAAATGAATTGCTACAGCATCGTCACTAAAAAATTTAATTCCATCATTAAAGTTCTCATTTTAACATTGGCCAAAAAGAAAACCTGGATCAACCTTTCATTCTCATGCAAACCCATACAAAAAATGCTGAAGCTTAAAGAATATCAGTTTTACAGATATTAAGAACAAAAGATGTCTTGTTCTCAGCGGGGATTTAATTTGGACCAGATTACTGTCTAGTTGGGGCCTGAGAATAGCCTAGATTGGCAGCAACAATGAACTTATGAAACTTATTAACAAATAACTTCAAAAAAAAAAAAGTGAAGTTTGTATACTTTGCAAAACCACAGTTTTGTGGTCAAGCATGAAAAATAAGCTTCAAGGTTACACGGAAAAAAACTATAAAAACAAAGGCATGAAGACTCGCATGGATGCTACAGTATCTCAATTCTAATCACCATGCACTAAAATTTGAAATCTAAGGAGGCACCTGGTCAGAAGTTGTGAAGCCCCTAATTGTGTCACCTCCAATTATTGCAATTCCTTTGTCTCCAAGTGGTTGCAGGATGACTGCCTAGTGAAGTACTATTCTATCAGCAATACTTTGACGAAGATTGAATTTGCATATATTGCAGGATTTTTATACCCATTTTGCCAAGAAAATGAAAAACACAGGTATACAAAGAAATTAAAGCACAAAAAAATGAAATGAGGGTTGCAATTGAATCTGCTATAAATATTGTAGTAGCAGGTTGAAATTCTTGATTTCTTTATCATTTTGCTTAGTGGATGTTCTTGATTATCATCTTTGGAATCATGAGCAGTGCTCTATAAAACAATGTCAAATTAATTTCCGATATTCTTCTTGATCAAAATCTTTTCAAATATTATTATTTTGCTATGATTTTGAGATATGACATGTTCTAAATTGATTACAAACACAAATATGTCCTATCAATTATATTTAATCAATGATTTCCACTAAAAGAGAAGCAAGTCAACTTATAGCATTTGAGAGAAAGTAAGCATTATTACCTGTGTATTTGAAGGCAGAAATGGCAGCTCAGACTTCCCAGGATAAAGGGACAAGTTGGCCAAGTAGCTCTCTAAAAGCATGGGTAAGAACTAGCAGTCAAATTTTCAGTTGTAGGATAAAAAATTCGCTGGAAATTTGTATGAAGATCATTCCATATTGCTTACGTGATCCAGATTTTAAAACACCACGGTAGAGTGATCCTTGGATTAATTTATTGACATCTACAACCACTGGTTCAACTTCATCAAAGGAAGAGGCAGCAGCAATTCCTATTTGGAGGATACAGATGCTATCATAAACAATAACCAGAGACCTGCAGCAACTTACGGCGGACATAGACTCCCACAGCCTGAGAAGATGCAGGAAAATCAAGCTTGGATCAGTGCAATCAGAATACTAATGTTCAAAACAAGTGTCATACCAAGATTTCAAACAAAAACTATGGTATATGATGTGGTTTAGTTTAGATACAAGATATCCCATTTAGAATAAAGACAAGTAATTTGTTTTTGGAAACATTCATGTGAAATATATTCATGCTATCATGAGCTCGCCTGACTGTGACAAATTAATCCTATCGTTTCTTCAATGACTCATATGAGATGAAGTGCGTACCATAGTAACTCGGAAACTACAAAATCAGGAAGGTGAGAATATATCCTTTGACACTTTACACCTTGGGGATTTACCTGAAACCAATATTTAAAACACAATGAAATCCCCTGAACTACAGATATGGCAAGTAGCCTACTGAACTAACAAGCTCAATGTGTGTGTGTGTGTGTTTGAGAGAGAGAGAGAGGGTTAAAACAATAAAGCAAATGAAGAGTCCTTACCACAGATATAGATTTTGGTCTGATGGACAGCCATACTAGACCAACTAGAATATTGGTCACAGCCAAACCAAGTGTCAATAGATCCGCTCTAGACTGAGCACTGCAAGATAAAAGACTTCAAATAGATGGAATCGAGTACCCCCAAAAAAAAAAAGTCCATTTACATTTTTTGTACAAGTCCAATGGATTTCTTTTAACCCTTCATAATCAAAACAAAGCAACTCAATTACTGTTCCAGCAATTGATAATTGACATCATCACACACTGTATTAGATCATGACAACCGTAATATATACCCTCAACAATGCATGAAGAAATCAATCCAACGATAGCTCTAAGATCAATATGTGTATCTCTTAGTTACACACATCCACAAAACAAGCAACAAATCATGATTTGCATCGTATGGACAGTCAATTCGCCAATTATAGCTGAAAGTAACCCTAATTCAGCATGTTAAAAATTAGGTGATTGCCATTGCTAATAAAAGAAGAGCAGACTCACCTGCTGGCATCGGCCACTGGAGCAATACCCGAAACAGAGCGATTGACGAGAACTGCCAACAGAGACGCACCTCCAACATAAATCGGCAAGCTCCGAACGGCGTCGTCGTTTCTGGATACCCAATCGGCCACCCATTCCCTCTTTGGCTTCGGCCCTTTGTAATCTCCCTTTAATTGTTCGCAAAAATGTCAAAGAGAGAAAAAATGCAAAGAAATACATACTCTCACACACACACACTAATGTATATAGATTTGGTGAGGGGTGTATATACCTGGGAAGTGGAAGAGGCCCTAATAAAGCGCGGGAAAGAGAAACGACGAAGGCTGTAAGGACGGTTAGGGTTTAACGGAATCGGACAGAGAAGAGTTCCCGCGTCCATAGAGAATTAGTTAGTTGGTTATCAAAATATCTCGAACTGGAAAAACAGACGAGTGTATAGATTGAGAAGGAATCAGGTACATTCATCACTATTATTAGTTTCATACAGTCGGTTACGAGCCACGTTGATCCATATTCTGTTTAATACCTTTTTTTTTAGGGGGAATTACACTTTGTTCCTTAAAAGATTTTATTTTATACCTTAAAGACCCTATATAAGTTTAAGAATTTATCACACAAAACATTATATAATTCCAATAAACTTTTTGTTTTTATGGTAAAAAAAAAAAGTGTTGGGGCACCAGGGGTAAGGAAGAGCACTCAGAGATCACCTCAACAGGTCTTCACTAGTGAGATCATGAGGCCCATAATAGTGTTCGTTTCACCTCTTGTGTATGAACCTAACTAAGTTAGTATAACAATTAATCACAAAATCAAATGTGAACTCCAAAACTCAAATTTTCAACCTTAATGTGAGAAATTTAACTAGCATTCCACTAGACCACCCTACTCCGTGGTCAATAAACTTTTTAAACCAACGAGATCATCGTCTACAACCAAACTCTATGTGAAACCCAAGCATACATGAATGATACGTGGATAAAAAAAATTAGTAAAATATTTTTATAGTGCATGTTTTAATATACATGAAAAAAAAATTAAATTAAAGATTAAATTAATTTTTAGATTCAAAGTATTTACACAAATGTCATTGCATGACATTTCTTCCAAGCAGCTGCTTGGCAGCAGCAGGAGGCTCCATGTCTCTCTCCAACACTCTGGAAAGTTTGAGGAGGTGCTGAAGACTTCTTCCATTGCCTGGAATGAATAGATTTCGTTTGTAGAGAAAGAAACAGAGGAGAGAAGGTAGAAAATGAAAACCTTCGTTTGAATTTTTGAGTTTGCTTTGAAGGCTTATTCGAACATTCAAAGGTATACCTCTAGCCTTATTTGGATGTTAGGAATTCATTAGTGTTGTTAATTTTTGATTTGGGTAAATGGTTATGCTTGAATTTGAGTATTAAAGTTTCGAATTTTAGGTTTTTATAAAATGGATCTCGTAGAAAACAAGTCTTTCTTCTTCAATTGAGTCTTGGGTTGTGTTTTTGGGTTATTGTAGAGTTGTTTGGGTGTGGTTTTACAAGTTGTCGTGGTGTGTGGTGATGGGATGAAGAAACCCTTATGGGTTTGAATTTTTAAAATTTGATTTTTGATAAACTTTGATTAAGCTTTGAAATGAGGCTTGGGTCTAGCTAATTTGGAGTTAAGTAATCCATTTTCGTCATTGGAATTGGATTTAGAGGCCGTTTTGGGGCTGAAACAGGTAGTTGCAGGTCTGCCTTTGTGTTTAAAAAAAAAATTTGTTGTCAACTTTGACCAATGATTTGATGATGTTAGAGTTAAATTCGAAGGCTGATTCTAAGGAAAATTGAAACTAGGTTGTTTAAAGAGTATGTGGGTGTTGAAATCAAAGGAAATAGTGTATTATAGCGGGAGAACTTTGAGGTCAAAGTGGAGTGACTAAATAAAAAATTCTGCACTTAGGGCAAAAGTCAAACTAATCAAAAGTTAAAGATGAAGTAGGGTGGGGGACATCAGTGGACTCTAAAGGAAATTTTGGGCATGTCCGAACACCGATCAACCTCTAGTTCATCCAAAGTTCTGTAATGTCCATGCAGAGGTCCTAGCAAAATTTCAAGTAGATCCAACACCCGAATCAAAATGAGGATTAAAATGATTGTTTTGGTCTCTAGAGTCAATTCGACCCAGTTTTTGGGTATTTTTGAAAAATAAATTTTATATTCATTCTTAGGTAGGTAAATTGAGTATGTGTATGAAATTTAATTGAAAAATAATATCATTTTTTTTTTGCTATTTCGGATCAAAAAGCATAGCATGGTAGGATTTCTCAATTCCGTATTAATCGAAGTTTTTAAATTTATTTTGAAATTGTGTCTTACATTATTTATGAATGTTTAGCATATTTTAAAACTTATGATTGAGCTTTTGAATTAGGTCTGGAAATCACAGATCCGAATTATAGTTTTGAGTACGGTAACACACAGTGGTCCAAAACGATGATTCTGATTGTATAAAATGAGATTGCGAAATCCTTTTAAACAAATTGTAAGTGCATATAGATTGAGTGACAAAAAGGGTTTACATTCTAGTTTAAGGTTATAAAGGGTACTCATTGAGTCCATAAATGCTTGAGTGACTAATTGGTCTTCGGACTTGGATACTGAAATAAAATTGTGGTGAATACGAAACGTCAGGGAGCATATTCATATGGATTTAATTTTATGAATTAAGTTGTTTTTTTGAGTTGATACTTATTTGCATTTGTGCATATGCAAATTGTTAGAGTCGGAGGCTACTACATCGGTTCTACCTAGGGATCGAGCATAAAGCTAAGTGGTGTGTTGGTTGGTGGTGACAGGTGAAGTGTAATGCCTCATAATAATTGAAAATAAAAGTATATAACTACTATGAGTTATTTCACTATGTGCAATGAAGTTTTGATGACTTGATTTATGTTGAGTTGAGTAAATAATAGATCAAATATGTTTTGTTGAAAAACTTGTGATTTATTAAAAAGCTTGTGATTTATTAAAAAACTTATGATTTGAGTAGTATCTACTGTGTTAGAATTGTTGATATCTTGACATGACTTACATGTTGTTGATTTGGACACTACGCAGTTGTCGTGAGATAGTTTGACATTGCTTAAATGTTGTAAATAACTTGACATTGCTTAAATTTTGTTGATAGCTTGACATTGTTTAAATGTTATTGTTGACTCATAGCACATGTGAACTATTTATTATATTGTTATATTGACAGTCATTATAAGATTTCAAAGTGAGTTGAAAACATTTTGATTTTGACGTTCTCCTCAAATAGTGAACATATTTTGGTGGAATAAAATTTGATCCATATTTTTTTAATATTTTTATTTATTATGATGCACAATACACTCAAGAAAATATTTATTTTCAAGAAGCTGAAGTTTAGAGTTGGGTCCACTACAGCACTAGCAGAGTCAAGATGAGATGTTAAGGAAACTGATTGTGCACATATTTGACTGGAGTATTCGTTTCCTTATTAATGTAACGGATGAATTCCCTAATTTTTTATGTTGTATTGAGTTACAGAGTTGTATACTATGTTATAGAGTTGTATGATTTATCTCTTTTATGAGATTAATGGTTAATATTATTGGTTTTAAATGATTCTTTGTAGTACAGACATAAGTATTACCACGTGTCGAGTTATACTTCTATCTCTAGAGTACCAAATAGGTCTCTCGGGATGGGATGTAACACCCTAGATCCATTTTTTATTAACACCATTCTTGACTCTTGCCTTGCATTTTCTCTTTTTAATTCTATACGTCCAAAGTAGTCACACTATTATATCGTTGTTGGACTTTAAGGTCACGAGATTAAATCTAATTATCATTTTTTTTATACCAAAAAAAAAAATTCATTTTGGTCGGTGAGTGACTAAAAGCCAAGAAGCATATGTTAATGTGGGTCCTTATCAATCATATAATCATCTTTGTTATTAGTGACTAGCGTCCACTTAAATTAAAGGCATCTTCTCTGTCCACTTGGGAGGCATTGAGACCACCAAAGTTTGCATCAATGTTGTCCACATTCTCATGGGCAATGTAAATTAAAATAAGAAGCTACTTTCACTTGATTTACGAATGTCACCAATTGGATTAAATGGCCACGATACTTCAGGTGCATGAATCGTGTGATATTGTGTCTTCGTTTGATTGAATTTTGTCAAAATATGTTTAAGTCCGCATATAATATTGTAGGAGATTAATCCGTGCGTTCGGGATGTCCTTCCTCCACAGAAGGATTATGGCTGCCTACCTCCTCCATGAATTGCCCAGGCTTATATGTAAGGGGGGAGACGATTCTCTTCCGATGTGGGACTAACTCCCAATGGGCAGCGAGGTAAAAAGGCTACTGGCACAAAGCATAAGCTTACGTCAGGTCAACCATAATCCTTCTGTGGAAAGAGGACATCCCGAACGCGCAAATTAATTCTCTACAAATATAATTGTTATTGTTTGTAGAAGGGAATCGTATCATGTATGATCAGTATGTTATTGGTTTCTGTTGTTCATTTCTTTGATTGTCTAACAAACCTCATTCCCATTGATCACCAATATTTGAGACGATTAAGACAAGATCTATTAATTTTGTATCAATTGAACGTCAGATTAGGTCTAAAATTATGGGACCTACTTATACTAACTTCATGTTGTTCACATATTTTTGGTTTAACGGTCAAAAGTATTTAAGACAATTTACGTACATTTCGACTAATTTTCTCTCTTGCCTGATCAAAGACAGGTCATTTATGTCGAAACTATGATATTTATGAAAAATAAATCATTCATGAATTGACCCTAAAAAATTGTCAAGTTTCGAACTAAGAATATCAGAGTTCACAGTTCGTCTCTATTACCTCTTCAATTAATCCTTAGAATTTTTTCAATATTTTATCGCCTTCCATAAAAATCCATATGGAAGTCACTATATTATAGAGATAAAAATAAGTTGTGTTATATCGAATTCATTAGGTACAAATTAGTATATAATCAAATTGTCATTTTAGGCCTAAAATTTAAGCTATAATGCTCCATTAGTAGCAAGTTGTCCATGTTGATGGAAAAATAAAAAAATGTGTATCTTGGAAACTTATTGCATAATTACACAAAGAAGCAAGGTGAATAGACACGGAGAGCAATAGCCGCCACAACTTCTTGTGTTCTGAGTGGCTCTGATGTGTGAATTCTTTGTGCGTCCTTGTGCATGCCTTGTCCCAAAAAAAAAAAAAAAAAACTTCTTGGGATTCGAAGTCTCCAATAAATATACCTATACACCTCGTGACATGACAATGGCACTATTAAAGATTTTGGTACCATAACAAAATTTAAAATTATTTTAAGTATAAGTTTTTCCAATTTTAAAATTTATTATTTTTATGTTTATATAATTATTTTTATTATTTTTTAAAGTATTTTT